TTCTTTAATACAGATGTGTTTTATATATTGTTTTAATAAAAATGACATCACATAACCCATATGGCACTGTCAGAGAGTTTATTCACCCATACTATACACATAAAACATGATATCAGTTTTAAAATCAAACATTTTAAAAGATAGCAAAACATCTCGGTTGTTTAAACCAATCAGCAAGCTGTGTCGTCAGCAAGTCGTTTCCCATCAAATCCGACACTTCCGCCTTGCGCTCGCGAGAGTTTTTTGACATACGTCGTCGGCATGACATCAGAGCCAGGCGGACCGCTCTCGGAAGCATTTCTAACCGGCATGCATCTCGCGCTGATCACTGGTGATCGGTTGTGTTTTTGAGCATTCAATTTTAATGCAGTGTCCAAATGTGTTTGGGTTGTTTTAAAGGTACAATATACAGGATTTTTGTAGTAAAATATACCACTTGGCCAATGTTATATATTTTGTTTAGTTTATTACTTACAATATCCCAGACGTTTTCAACTATTTGTAAATCGTGAGAAAATTGCGATTTTTAACTAAGGAAACGGGGCGTGTGAGCAGGGGTGAGGAGTCGCCAGTCAATGACGTCATATTCGCGTTACCCCCGGTTTCCGTACTGCAACAGTAACCATGGCGACAGACGTGGACAACTGGGTCGGCTATGCCCGTTCTGCGAGGGTTTTGTTCAAACATTATGGAGCATGGCATGCAGACTTTGAGACAAAAAGAGGACTAAAACGAAGATCAACATCTTTCCAGATGCCGAGAGCTCCACGTCCGCGACTAACTTCGACTTGACAGAGACAGGCAAACAGGTGAGCAAATATATATAAAACTAATCAATGCTATATAGTTCAACATGATGAACAGTTAGAATATGATTTGTTCTCTAATGTTTATCTAACAACATTCAACACACACAAATGCAGTTTAGTGTGATAGTGAAACTGTTAGAGCAAGTGAGTTTAATTCCTCTAATAAACTGACCTGTGTGAGTAATTCAGCGTGTAGTTTGGTAGAATGAAATGTCCTTATTCCTTTATATCCGCGGGACTCGCGTTGCATGTGGCGCTGGTATACGTCTAGCAATCGCGCCCTGCTTCATAGCCTATACTACAGTCATGATAAAAACATCACTGTATTCACTCATCCATAAAAGATCCATCAGCTTGACGACAAGATCCATGATTTCACTTAAAGCGGAATACACGTTATTAATATACGCCTTTGTTATTGTAAGAGGTTAGCGACCCCTGGTGGCGAAACAATCTTGCATATTGGACCTTTAAATAAATAAAAAATAATTAATATCAGAGTTGTTTGTGGTGGTGGTGATTAGAGGAGATCGGCGGTGACGTCACGATCGTGTTGCACTGTGGGATATGGCGCTGTCTGAAGTGTGGAAGTACGGGCCGAAGTAGAGAGCGAGGGTCTGTCAATATAAACTTCCCTCGTCCGCTTCACCAAAGGCGGCAGGGATTCCCCCGAGGGGAAGTGCTTAAGTTCGTGAGTGATGTGGAGAGATGGGGCTGCGTTCCAGTCCACTCTTAGACACACAGTCACTGGAAGCATAGGCGCCGATACCGTGGGTGCTCCGGGGCTCGAGCACCCACGGAAAATAACGAGCACCCACCCACGTGTGCCAGACTGCCAGTAATATTCATATAAAATAAACATTGCAGTTGGTGCTATTTGAAGCGTCTGACCCGTCTGTCACACTGTGATTTGTTATCTCGCTGTCAGTCGCCTGCTCCATATCCTGTATCCACCAATCACAGCGTTTCTCGGGTGAAAACGCCTCTTTAGTGTGATTCCGCAGATTCCCGCTTCATTAGCCTACCCACATACAGTGACGTGCGTGTGTACGTGCGTTTGATAAATCAGATTTCAGAGTGAGAATAAAATGGACAGATTTGTGTGACATTGATTCATAATTTCCCACGAAGCTGATCGCGGTTAGTTAAACTTTTCATCTCCAATCCTGTCTGTAGCCTATTTGTGAAAAGTGAGTTGAAAGATAGCCTTACGGCTTTATTATCAAGTAAATAGTGTGTGTTCGTGTCGGCTGCTGTCCATTTCCCAAGGTTCTGAAATGCAAGCATTTTTTGACTTCTTTTTTTTTTTTTTAAGGGCGTGCGCCCATGAGCACCCACGGAGGAAAACATAAATCGGCGCCTATGACTGGAAGTGTGTGTCATACTTTGGTATTTGTACTTGACCTACTTCCAGAACCACACAGTCCTCCACCCGCTGGAACTGAGAAACTCTGAGAAACTGCTGTTGTTTTCTCAGAATATGAGTAGCCTCAGGAAACCGGTAAACCCCCAGTGTGCCAGTCGTGGGCAGTGTTATATATATATATATATATATATATATGAGAGCGAGACAGAGAGAGAGAGTAAATTAACTCTAACAAATGCTATAACTAATGAAAAGGTATACAGTACATACAAGAAACCAGAAATGTGTTTGACTAAAGTGACCTTTGACCTTCACAGTTTAAGATCCGCATGTCATTAAACATGATCTGATGTCTTAAAGTGGCAGTAATAGACCTAATGCGGTCTGTGTCCTTAATATTCAAGCAACAAAAGAGAAAAGCATTCACTGTTTGTTAATAGCTTTAATAAGGATTCATTATTTTTAATTCATACAAATAAATATGTCTGCTTAAAAGAATATGGTGTATGTAGTTATAAAGAATGCATATATTATTCATTGAAAAGAATACTGTGTTTTACTTTAGAAGTGTGTGGTAATAGAAATAAATCCAGCCTTGTGCTGTTAATGAGGGAAAAACCCATGCGATGATTATGATTACTAGATACCATCGCTCACTTATTCAAAATGTTAAATATAAAACCAAATTGTCAAACCACATTCAGGGAATCTGTGACCCTTCTGGCAATCAAACAATGCTCTCAGCATACACACATCAGCCAATCTTAAAAACACCACAGATCATTCATTAGAAAAATGGACAACACAGAAGCAGTTACAGCAAAACATTTACTTTAATAAAGTAAATTAATTTAGCAATTATGTAAAAATTATAGTAGGTTACAGTAAAAACTTTAAATAAAAGCATGTAAGGAGAGTTGTGCAGATTTATTCTGCTTCATGTCGAGTCACACTGAGGACTTTTATTATGTACTGCCGGTTTGTGTGAGAAGTTTTGAGTTGTTGTGTGTAAACGATGACAACAGTGTTGTAGTTGTGTTGAACTTTTATTTATTCTACTATTATGGTACAACAATTTTACATTTGGGAGCAATTTAGCGAGAACACACACTGCATACCTTTTCATAATAATGGTTTACTAATACATATTGTATACACTGAAAAAAATTATATGCTTATCTAATCAATAAAATTGTGGCAACATATTACAAGCAATATTATTAATTAAATTGCACAAATTAGAATTAATTAGAATGTTAATTTGATTAACTATTACTCAATTCTAATTTGTTCAGTTTAATAAATAATATTGCTTGTAATCTTTTGCCACATTTTTATTGATTAGATAAAGCATATTCATTTTTACAGTGTAGGCTTTTTTAAATAAACAGGGTACTATGTATTTAAACAATTTTTTAAAAATGTTTTTATAGTTTTTATTAAAGTGCATAAGTTTAAGTTTGGGCGTACATGTTTCAATGGAAAAATGTAAATGTAAAACTATTGCAATACTGGGAAATGTACTTTTGTTCCGTACAAATGGTGTTTGTTACGCTCTTGTTTAGTTACAGGGTAGGACAATAAAAATACACACTGTGATGAGATGATGAACTATCATGAACTGTCATATGCGCGGGTAGAAAAAAAAATGGCGGAGAGATTAGAAATGTTGATTCTGTCCTGTATGATCTCTCTGATGATAGGAAGGCTGCTGCGTGAGGAAAGTTGGAATACATCTTTTTAAAAGGTATATTATTTTCCTGCTCCCTGACAAGATATATATATATATATATATATATATATATATATATATATCACCTAATCCATATGAATGGTTTCCTCCTAGTCCTCTAAAGAGACACGATTGCTCTATGATTTTAACAGTTTAAAGTTAGACTTCTAAGTCTAATCACATTCAAGTAACAATCAGGATGCAATTGTTTGAATTTAAACGAAAATGTATCTGTTGTGTGCGCTATAGGTACTTGTCAGGAGATGGCGCTGTAGTCCACATGTTGTAAAAGGTGTAGAGTAAGAATGGATGTTTGCATATACTGCCTGGCAGTGTTGGATTGCTTGTGGGTTTTGAATAAACCTTGAAGAAGAATCTTTCTTTTCCCTTCTTGATTACCTGGACTTTACAGTATCTGTGATCAATTTCAAATAATATGATGTTGAAATCCTTGTGGGGATTTAAACGTAGCATGCAGTGGACAACAGCCTTTTACGAGTATACAAACAAGTAAAAGTGCACAACATTAATTTTAGGTATGCTAGATGCAATGCTTAATAATAGTTGACAAATATTTTTAAATATTAAAATGATAAATACATAGATTTTTTAAATATATTGCATTAAGTGGCCTATAAGTGTTTATAAAGTTATATATTTTAAGTCCACTAAAAAATTAATAATTTTTCATGTTCTTACACAAAGTACTTCAAAAATGTATTGTAAGAGCAACATGTGTTTTCTTTAAATGCACTAAAAGTTCACTAAAAGTATGCTTGTGCTTAGCATATTTCTTAAAAATATAATGAATCATGTATTTATTACCAATGCTTCTACTTGTTAGAAATATATTAAAAGTATACTTGTGTTGAGCATTTTTCTTAAAAGTGTAACAAAGCATATTTTTTAACCAATCTACTTAAAGTGTACTTTTTATGTTAAAAGTAAAAACATCTACGATGACATTAAATATTTTTACTTAGTTATTCACGCACAGCAATACCACACCACGACAATCAGACTTTTAGGGAAAAAACTAATTCTACTGGACGCACCGGTGGGGAATTTTGTACAATTAGAAAACTTTATTGGCAAGTATATTTTAAATACACAATTAATCTGTTTCAGTGACAGGAGCTTATCGTATAGAACACAGTACAGGCATATACATATCCTCAATCTGCTTCTTCATTTCGAAGAGCAAACTCGAATTTAGCGCCTCCTCTCCTACTTCCTGATCTCTCCTGATTATTTTCTCGACACAAGTGTAAAGAAGTATTTTCTCTCTTTCTCTAACCTCTTCTGGGACCTTATTATCCTGATGTTTCCATGATCCCCCTGTTAACATGGGATTGTTGTCTTTAAACTCTTGCCATGATTTAAAGGTCACCATCATGAGGATGTTCAGGAAACACATGTTAGGATTCCTGATAACTTCTGAGTATAAAACAGCACACACTGCTATGGCATCTCCAAATTCCTGTATAGAAGACAACACTTTGTCATGATTCCCTGTAATGTAGTTCCAGAGAGTCTCAGAACAGTTTTTTTTGAAAAATGTTGATGTTTGCAATCTCGGATAAGAAAGTTTCCCTTTGTCTTCTTCTTTGATTGGATGGCAGCAGTACAGATCGCCTGCTCTCATCTTTACCCTAAATTTACCGACTGAGAAGTGGATATGCTGCCTATCTGGACTTTTAAACCAGGTATTAATGAGAAAATAAATTAGTTTAGCATAGTGACTAAAATCTGCTATTTTGATGTCTGTTTTGGTGTCAATTGGTATAGGCCCGAAATTATAATCAGAATCAGAACCAGAACCAGAACCCACGTCCGAGTTAATGATCATTTTTAAGAGCTTGTACAATTTTTTATAGATGTTTCCATCCGGACGAAATTCATTGATTCCGTTGATCAAAAGCACCTCTTTCAACTTCTTGGCAATCAAGTAGAGATAGGCTTTCAGCTTGTTTTCATTCCCGTTGAAATTGGACTACATAAACATAAAAAACAAGAGTTACACAGAATATATTGACATTATCTATTTAATAAAAAATAAAAATTGTATGACAGATATAACCTACGGTGTTCCCTGTCTCCTCCAAACACGAGCCGGCTTCAAGCTCCTGAGCAGAGTTTTCATTGCTGTCACTAAAATGCAAAAATCAAAAAACAAAATGAAATACACTGTTCAAAAATCCTGCATTGATTAACTTCGTTAAAATCTTAAAACCTTAATATCAATAGTTTAATTAAATGTAGCCTAATAACTCTTCTCATGCTGTGTGAGGAGCACCGGGAGTTTCCGCGAAATTGTCCATAAATTAATAAAACTCAAAATATCATTCTCAAATTTACACAAGAACACTCTCAGTGCCTGTTATTAGGAAAGTTTCAGATGAGAATAATTAAGACTTTTTCATATGTTTTTGAAAGAAAAACGCTGAATTTATTTTTGCAAAAATACTGTTAAAACACCAATTTTATGAAGTATTTCTAAACTGTTCAGCATTTTGAAATGTTTTAAAATTTAGTCCTGCGATCAAAGCTAAAAAATAAACGATTTTCAGAATCATTATAGGCCTACTAGTCTAATATAAATAATTAAGAATAAAAATAAAGAATTACTAAATAATTATAATTAATGTTTTTCTCTTAGCCTATTTTTAATGCTATTTATTTATTTTTGCATATTCATGTTTTTTGTAGAAACCAACTGATACTTTTATTGCCGCTGTCGATGTATGAATGGGTGAATGTGAGACGATGTGTAAAGCGCTTTAGGTGGTGGGTCTGGTGAAAGCGAAATGATTAGATATGTGTAACATGTTCAAGCTAAAAATGTGGCAAAATGGTCATTCAAATGTTATTTTTCTTAATTGCATTTACACTCCCAGTCAAGACACTTGCGATTGCCTTTTCATGAAATGTGCCGCAATGGATGTAGCAAAATTCAATGTTCACAAGGAATGCATTCCGAGCCGACTACGCCACCTCCCGCCCAATTGTTTCTCTCTCTCGGAATCATAGCTCGGAATGCGTATATCGTTCCGGTAACATGGAAAGGTTTAGGGGGAGGGGAGTGGGGAGTTACGCGCGCACCATACACAAGCAAAAACTATTTTTTGGCGTATATAAACGGCACGAGAAATGACATTCTCAGTTCAGTATTCATACGTCGCGTGTAATACGGACGCACTCTACAATCTACTCTACATACACCGTGTGTTGTGCTCAGTTTTGGGAAGAGAATACAAGATAAAGAGACTGAGAGAAGAAAGAGATGAGAGAGGATATGCATACTATGCCCAGAATTAATTCATACGAATTGGAAACTCGTAAAATATGTAAGATTTAGCAAAAATGTAAAAGAATAAAATAAAAATAATAAATAAATAAAGTGTCTCAAAATGTGGTGAAAGTTCCTTTGAGACATCCGTCCCCAGGGCACGTCATTGCCATAATCCCCCTTAAAAACACTGGTCTTTTTGCACTTTTGCACACGACACACACCCTAACACTACCCCAGGTTTACAGTGCACATGCCCGATAATAGAAAACTAATTAAAATTATTGTTATGAATTTACACTTTCATGAGAGCGTGCTGCAGCTTCACACACAAACACCCAAAACTCTTTCACAGTATTTTGCCCCACTGCTGCCCTGCTCGGGTGAATGAGAAGAAAACTTCAGAAAATTTTTTTAGGGGAAATGCACATCAGTTTATAGTCAGAGACATTGATGAGATTAACTGTAAACTAACTATTAGCCTACTAAACTAAATAAACTTGTATTGGCTTTATATTTTATTATCTTTATGAGTTTTATTCTTTATTCTTATTTTAGACGCCGTAAGAATGAAGAATATATAAAGAACAAGAGAGATCATAGCGATCTATATTTAGCTCGATAGTCTAAGAACAATACTAAATAATAAGTTGCAGTGGAATAGTAATACCGACACCATCTATAAAAAGGGGCTGCAGAGACTGTACTTTATGCGGAGACTGAGACAGTTTAGAGTGGACAAAGATATGATGTTACTTTTTTATCACTCATCTGTGGAGAGCATGCTACTTTTCTGTTGCGTTGCATGGTATTTCTCTTTGTCAGTGACCAACAAAAATAGATTGAGCAAGATGGTTAACCTGGCCAGAAAGGTTGCGGGGCATAAACTAGACAGTATTACATGTATAAGAAGAGTGTTGAAGAAAGGTATAGCTATTACACCGGGCATACGAGCTGTTGCCATTAGGGAGAAGGTTTAGGTTACCTTATTTCCAGACAAATCGAGCCAGTAAATCATTTATTCCAACTAGCATCACTTTGATGAACAAGAAGTTACCTGTAGGACTGCACTTTACATAGCACTATTAGCACTTTAATTAGGTTTCTTGGAGTCTTCTGTCCTGATGCTGTGTATGTGTAGGGGTGTGGTGGGGATGAGGGAGGGGGGTGGTTGGGGTGAGGGAATGTTGTATTCTGTCATGTAAAATTGTCTTTGTATAGATGTATCAGGCGTACTGTAGGTGCAGAACAATTTTCCGCGAGGATAAATAAACTTAATCTTAAATCCGGTGAAATAAACGCATATCCACCGTCTGTTCGTGTCAATGTGTGCAGGATACCCATTTTCTAACGGGTTGAGCATTGTTTCAATTTGGTTTAGTTTATTTGGTATATAGTCTATGTATCTTTCTTTTTCTTCTTCTTATTCTTTTACTTGTTTGTATAGCTATTTTATTGATGTTTTCCGTTCTTCTTTTAATTGTTTGAAATAAAGATCTGTCCTTGATTCATTCATTCTTTCTTAAGAAAATAGTTTTGTATGACCTACCTGTTCATGTGATGTTGTTCTGTGCCCGTTAAGTCTCCTTTAAAATGACGGAAAGGCAATTGAGTTTAGTTATCTCTCCACACCTCGCACACGCCGCCGTTCAAAACCACTTCTCTACTACTTGTTACTCTGCATCTCCTTCTCTGAAATAAACGCATATCCACCGTCTGTTCGTGTTAATATATGCACAGGGTTGTCAACTTGTGAGTTTTGCTTTGAGTGAGATTTGAATTTTTTTTTTTGAGTGGGGGTGCGCAGTGGTGTAGTCTAGTTTTTTGTAGTGAGTATACTGCCCCCCCCCACCCCCATCCACCGCCACTACCACCCATTTTCGAAAATTTTTAAAAAGTTGTGTGATATTCCTTTAAAATTATGTTTTAATAGATTTGATTATTATTATTTTAAAAAGTACATTTTACTATGCAATTTCTTTCATAATTCCCTCGAGTTACTTTATTTATCTCTATAAACTTTTATTTTGGTGGGTTGTAAATTAAAGACATTTGAGGTTCTGTGTGTTTTAATAAACTATTATTATTATTATTATTATTAGGCGTACTTGAAGTATACTCTACTGTGCAATAGTAATATATTTCTTTATATTTTTATATTTTTATAATTTTTCAGGAATTCCCTGAGAAAATTTTGGTGCGGTCGTCACAATGTCTTGTAGGGGCACAATGTCTTGTAAGCCAAAATATTTTGTCCAATTTTAATTTGGCATTAGGCTAACAGTTTTACTGATTTAAAAAATGTTTTGGGATTAAAGTTTATAAATTATTGTACTTTCCCATATGATTTTGTAAAACTATGTTGAGACCTCTGTCCCTCTAGAGTGGTTCTGTATGACCGTGAGATTGAGGCTGAATTCGACCATGCTTCAATATTTGACGTTTTAGGCGCCCTTTAGCGTCACTTACATGACGCGATCCTACGGCGTCATCTTACTGACGCTAAAGGAAAGCGTCAGTTAGAGGACGCGGTTAGGTTTAGGTGTGGGGTGGGGGTAGGGTACACACGATCCTAGGGCGTCATTAAACTGACGCTAAAGGGCGCCTAAAGCGTCAGATATTGAAGCATGTCCAAATGCTTCCCAAGGCGTCAGTTAAGTGACGCCTTGGGAGTGAGAATGGGCTGTGTCACACCAGATGCGTCAGAGTGGCCACCCTTTGAGCAGGATACCCAAGGGGCATAGGCCTAACTTGAGAAGTGGGGGGGGGGGGGCACACAAGGGGGGAAAATGTTTTCGATTTGAATTCCAATTCCTGAATGTATAATCTCAATCTTAAGTTTATCAAGCGAAGAGAATAGTTTTTGTGAGCAAAAAAAAAAAAAGGAAAAAGGAAAAACGACTTTATTCTAACTATTTATTTCCTTCTCTTCTTGTTACTTGTACTTGTTACTCTGCATCTCCTTCTTAGAAAACTTAACCAACTGAAGTAACCTATATCCGATAGCTGAATACATTTAATTTAATTGAGACAGTAGTGAAATCATGGGAAATACTAAAGGAATTTGATATTTATTTTTTTTATTCACCACCTCCATTAATAAAGGAGCTCATCATACTATAAGTTCAACCTGTCCAGTCAGCTTTGTCAAATTGCCAATAGCAATCTCAGTTGTTCCATCTTCATGAATGAGACACTCCAAAAACTAATTCAGTGGCTTAGTAAATTTCACAGTAGCCTACTAATAAACTTTATTAACTTAATAAAATCTCTGAATATCAATTACTCGATGGTTTGAGTTTGAAAACAAATGACTAAAAATCCAACGGTTGATCTTGTCTAAAGTTTACAGTTATATTTGTTTATTTATTTAGGCTAATTTAGTATTTTACTAACCAATTATTTATTTAAAAAACATTTGATATACAGTATTTGTGAAATTTCTATCAAAATATTTGAGAATGGAGAATGAAACAAATTACTTAAATATTTACCACACTTGGGCAAGGCGAGTTCGCTGTCTGCTGCCGTTACCCTAGCGACGGTCACGTGACTAAAGCAGGAAATAGTCGGATGAATCAATGCTGTGAGCACACAACTTGGAATTGCTGCTGCTGGCAGCGCAAACTCTCAGGATTACGTCATGAGATTCTGCTCTGCCAACAGCAGCAATTCCAGCTTCCAGATGATATCAGTTGTGCTCCTAGCATTGATTCATCCGCACTCTTAAAAGAGAGTAGGCCTAACTTGAGAAGAAAAGGTTCTTCTTTCTTCTTTCTTTCTTAAGAAAAGGTTCTATCAGCGCTACGTTTTTGGAACCCCTAAACGGTTCTATACGGAACCCTTTTTAAGGGCTCAATAA